GAGGTACATATACAAAGACCCTCGCCAAGATTCAGGGCAGAGGAATATTTCGTATACGAGATGTCCGAAGAAATGTTTTACCCAAAGTTATAGAGATTTGTACGGAGACGCCATGCTGGTGCTCACCTGGATGAGCTCCAACATGGCGGACGAAAACCAAAAGAAACATCTGTTACCGAGTTTTGCTACAAAAGCGTGAATTTATGCCTCGAGAAACTCATAAACATTAAAGTAATTCTTTTTCCAATACATGAACTGTTTAGAAAGCAAAATTTCCTGAAATATGTCATTTTCTTAACCTACATGACAGCTCTCTTGGCCGTCGTGTAAATGCCGCGTCACTCAAAAGCTTAGAAATTCAAGGGTACTCTATCACAAAACCAAAAACCTTTTTGAAGCGAAAATTTGTATGAAAATTAGTTTTCAGCTGCTCTAATGCATCGTGAAAGTAAAATCTCGGTAGGATCGATAGTTTTTTAGTTTGAATCTTAGTGACGTCATGTGAAAACTAACAATTCCTGAAGGAATATTGGAGCCCTGATTGGAGCCCTAAGCAGGGTATGGTGGGTTTCGGTCGCCAAAATTTATAAAATATCTTAATATATTTACACAGTGTTTCCAAATAAATGAAAAAGGAAGCTAAATTAAGTGGCGTAAGCGAGCTTCGAACCCCGAAGTGCTAGCTTCAAAATCCATCTCCTGTACCACTACGTACCACGAGGGATTCAACTATTGTAACAATATTTTATTCTGTTTTACATATTTGTAGTAGCAAACCTAACAGTAAATGCTTAACAGTGCTTTTATAACCCTAATCACGATAGTCAGTGCGCTTACTCCTGTAATAGGAAATATTTTGTGTAAACATCATAAGGTTTCCAATGTGGTTCTGGACGGTGTAATCTAACGTTGACAATAAATAACACGTTTTCACGAAGAAAGAGATATCGCAGTTAATTCTGACTTTTGCAATAATCATTCACATCCCCCGCGTCCCTGTATTTGACGTTCCCGCATCCCTGTATTTAACGTCCTGCGTCCCCGTCCCACACGTCCCCGCGTCCCATACTTGATGTCCCTTCGTCACGCGTCCCCAAGTCGCAAGTCCCCACACACGCGTCCTAATGTCCCCGTCCCCTTGTCCCCGTCCCACTTTTATACACAGCCACTCCAGTCTTTATAACGAGCAGAACGACCGATCATAATAAAGTTGTTGCTCCAACTCACCGATTTCTGCATAACTCCAAACGAAGCCTGCTTACTACAGATCCATCCTAGCACACTGCAAAAACTGCCAATTCATAAATACTTCGACCCCTGAGCTTAAGGATGCAAATTTCTACGCTTTGTAGACACGAATTCAATCCTCATGGCCGCTCGGAAAGTTTGACTGCTATCCCATCAATCATTGCAACACCTTACTCGTGCGTCATTGGCTCGCGTCATTCTGGCGTCAATTTTATTTTGTTTTGGTAAAAAAAATTTTGTTAGGACAAAATTTTGTTCCGCCTTTTTCACTATTTTGTTGCGTTTACCCTAAAGGAGCCATTTCTTTCCAGACGTAATATTTTTCTACGGAAATTCTCCTCATTCTTTACAATTTATTTTTGGGCCTCCTTTATTCTAGCCTCCCACGCAGGCGTTTTTAGGGGAGCTCGTATTTCTTCCCTCCCCACAAACGCCTGCTCAACGGAAAACAACATTCCTTTCTCATTGTTTTATTTGCGTGGTAGGTGACCAATCAACAATTGTGCAATGAAGTGTTGACAGGCTAAACACGACTGAACGTGACCTTAGAGTTACCGTTTTGCTTCCTTTCTTTCCTTCGCTAAGGTTATGCAGTGCACGGAGTATTCTGAATTTTGACTAAAACTTATTTTTGCCGCTCTGAATCTAACATTTATTGCAGGTCAGAAAGCTTTCCCAGTGTTTAAGTAATGGTCCGCGTAAGAACTAGGCAAAAGAACAATAGGCCAGTGCAATAGCGGCAGTTATTTTTTAGGTGCTAATTTCTCTAATCAAATTAAATCTGAATTCTCTGATTGGTCAATGTAGCGAAAAGCGCGAAATTTGAATTTCAGAGTTGAATTAAGATAGCGTAAGACTCATTCAAACAACTTTTTATTTCGCCTATCGCTTTGATACTGTCAAAAATATAACATATCTAAAATTTAGAGGATTTCTATGCGCCAAACTCGTGGAAGTTAAACGAATATAAAATTACACAAGGATTATTACAGTGATACATCAATCAGCGATCTTGTGAAAAACATTTACGTCGGCTCTAACAAAGGAAATGTCAAAACCGTGATCGGAAACAGCAGTAATTCACGCTCACTTGGCGAACGCGCCAATGTCGCGGGTTATTCCCCCACAAATACAGAACAAATAAACAAGAAAATGTAAGAAAAAATCATAACTGTTAGGAAAATGGATGTTTCAAAAAAAGCGTTCCTCGTTATCTGTTTATTATATTTAGTTTAACTGTATAAGAATTTTGTTCTCTCTTCTTGCGTCCTTGGAAAGGTAAATATGGAAACTGCAGTCACTTTTGCAAGATCTTTTATAACACGTTATATTACTACTCAAAACGTGAGAACTGTTATGATCTCTAAGCTGCTGCAACATTACAAGGGAACAAAGTATGAGACTACTAAAAATTGTCACCTTGGGATTGGCCGACAAGCGGAAGGTTTCCGGTAGCGTCTTATTTCCAGGTATCATTTTTAGATCCACAGTAGCTCCTTGTTGTATCAGAAAGAGCGCAATTATTTGAGGAAATTTGTCTTACTTAAAAAATGGACCAGAGGTGAGTAAACTTTATGGCATTTGTCTCGTGTGTTTTCCAATCACCGTAGTATTTCTTCTAATGTTGCGTTTTTATTTTAGGAAAAGGGCTTCGACGTCAACATCTGGACCACGTGCAGATCAGGAACCCGGCTCACAGTCAACAAAACGCAGAAAGCTGGATTCTCGCGTAAGTATGTTCGTTTTTTTTCCTAAACCATCCGATTATTTTCCTTCTACTAAGATGAGATTTTTCTTGTGAACATGTAGGGTATGGAATTATGCAGATTATATGGAAAAAACAATCCAACGCCTCAGAAGAGACTGGTAATGCAGGGCCTCAAAGAAGGAAAAAATTTCGCTGCCCTGGCAGCAGACCTCAACGTAGCACAAGCAACCGCCGAGGTATACGGAATTGATTGCCTTGCTGCTGGCGCAGAATTGGATCACGAGACAATAGCAACCTTCCTGGACGTCACGGAAGAGTCTTTCTCTGTTATAAAACGTGAAATCTTATCCAACGAAGATAGGAAACTACGCACTATTCGAGATAACCTTGGGGAAGTTATTACCTATGACCAAATTCGTTTCGTGATAGCTTGTCTCATACATAACCTGGAGATCCAAGGGTTTACAACCCCCCTCCTTCCCGCTGCTGTGTTTGGGTGTTGATTTTTTTAGGGGGGAGGGGGACGGGGGACGGGGGACAGAGAGCTGGGTTGTTTTGTTTTTGGAAGAAAAAAAAATCATAATTATTAGTTATAAATCGGAGTTTTTTGATGGATGTGAAATAGTTATTTTGTGTGTGTTAGCTTGTCTCGTATACAACCTGGAAATGTAAGATTGTACAGCCACCACGACCCCCACCCCCACTCAAAAAATAAATATGTGTGGCCCTATTCCTGTTATGTTGCTGTTTATGAAGTAAAATGAAAAAAGAAGAATGTATGTCAACAAAATGATGCATTCCTTGTAACCATGACAATCTTAGTCATAATGTTATTGCCCAATTATCTTTTCCATAATTATAACTATGTTAAGATTTTCTTTGACAGAGGTCATTTATTGTACCTTCCTTGGATGAAAGGAAATAAATAATTTACACAAAATCACTCTCCCTCTCTTCTTTTTTCTGGGAAAGGGAAGGGGGCAGTTGTCTACGATTTTGTTCACTATGCATACCCATAACTTATTTCAGAATCTTGTAAATTTTTCTTAAAATTATCACAGTCTGACACTTCTCCGTATTTCATTGATATGTTGACTTCGACAACCACTGAATAAGAAAATTAACTACTACTGCTGCATTGGATACTTCGATGTACGTACAATAGTGACAAGGATTTGCAAATGAAGACATGCTATTATAACCAACCAAAAGAGCAGTCTGGAAAAAGTTCAGCGACCCAGAAACAACCTTTCTTTCCTTGAACAAAAAAATGTTTACCCAGGAAAAGTCAGAGTAAAATTCTTAAGGTGAAGAAAAGTCATCAGATGGCAAATGTAATTCCAAAAGTGGCCTTTGCATACTCCTGTCACTATTATCTTCAAGTAAATTTCTCAGTGTTACAGTCATCCAAAAACAGATAACCAATAGCTATTATAATTTCTTTGAGTCTTATTATTATTCTAATTGTCATGGGGCCATTGCCATGAAAAAAAAAAAGAGTAAAATTATTTACTACGGTCCATCCATCTCAGTTATTTGTAAGAAACTTCAAAATTTTTTCCAGGCAATTTTTTTGCAGATAAACTGGTCTGGATCTAACTGACAATTACTTATAATATTTATTTTTTGTTTCAGTACTACGATAAACTTTAACTTCCCAAGGTTCCTTTTTTTACTCTGACATTAAACAAATATGACTATAATTGCAGCTCTGATTACTTTTCTTAGACGATCAATCAATTATAGTCATATTTGTTAATGTCAGAGTAAAAAAAAGGAACCTTGGGAAATTAAAGTTCATCATAGTACTGAAACAAAAAAAATACAGAGAAATATTCAATGTCATTAATACACAACCACCTTTACGGTTTGTCCATCTTAACATAATGACAACCCTTTCTAAAAAGAAAAAAATTTTTTTTGAGCCTTGATTACAATTCCAAGAAAATGCAATGAAAAATCAAGGATCTTATAAAGTTTTGTACAACACATGTGGAATTCAACTTAGAGTCGCTTTCAAGCGTTAACATTTCTGAGAAATCCATTATGCATAGATAACCTCAGTTACTGACCCCAGTGTAAGAGGGGATTGCCAGTTGATGTCCATCATTCTATCAATCCAGTCGGTAAATGCTTTCCCTTGACCTGGGCCTACACTGGCAATAAGGGCGCCACTGTTAACATGGGAATGCGAATCAGCAAAATAGAAACTGCCACAACTGTCAACCAGCAAAAACATTGTTCTTCCAGAAGAGCAAAATAGGAGGCATACTCGTTCTTTCTTGTTAGACAATTCATCAAGAAAATTGGTAAGTAACTGCTTGGCAACACCAGTTCCTCCAAATAAATCTTTTTGTTGTCCAATGCAGAGAATGCCACAGTCCTCTCCAGCCATTTCAGCTGCATCATCCACATTTAGATCAACACCCTCATGATCAAACAAATCATCATGCAATTCATTGCCTTTTATCATTGCCTGCCTGAGAGAATCCTTCCATGAGATGTCCAAGTGAAGTCCATTTCGGGGGGGAAGCAGGCCTTTGGAAGCAATTTGACCAAAGTACAGAGAAATGAAAGCACATGCATTGCTTCCATTCCTTCCATCAAGAGTGGACTGGCTGAAACTTTCTGGGAATGACCATTCAGTTACAACACTTGACAGCTGTGAAAAACGACCAGTCAAAATTGCCTGTGGGATTGAAGGTGATAGTGCTGTAACACTGGAAGAAGGAGCAGGTGGTGGCGGTATGGGAGGGACAGTTGCTGGACTTGTACTGGATGTCATGGCAGGTGTCCTACTGGTTGTCACCGTAGTTGGTGCCATAGTTCCTGTAGGTGATACTTCCTTGGTTGTTGTAGCTGTTATTAAACAAGACGTCACTGTACATGTAGGTGGCTGTACACTACATGTCACTGTAGCTGGTACCATTCCGGATGGCAAAGTAGCTGTCATTACACTGCATCCTACAGTGGGTACCATTACACTGGATGTTACTGTAGTTGGTATTACAAAGGATGTTGTTGAACTTAAAGGCACATCTGGCATTGAGTAGGATGGCACAGTAGCTGGTGTCACAGCAGGTGGCATATTAGCTGCTAGCTGTTGTCTGTTCTTGCGGTGGTATGTAGACCACCAATTCTTTATTTGGATTGCAGAAAGAACTTCTAATCCTGCATCTGCCATTGCCTTCATGACGTCCTTAGGTTCCGCTCTGATGCGGTTTACCGCCTGCCTGTTATAAAATTCTATCATGATCTCTTTTTGGGCTTGACTAAAAACTGTGCGTTTTCCTGGGCCATGTTTCAGGGCATATCCAGTCTCCAGCCTTAGCAGTAGATACTGGTCATCTGTAACAGGGTGCAGTGAAGGAGCCACTGTTTGCTCAGGTGCATGTTGGATAAAACGCACAGAATATCCTTCATTCCTTGATGCTGGGAAAGAGGTAGGGCACTGAACTGGTTCTGCATCAGGCTGTTCTTCGGAGGTAATGGCACCAGTTGCACCAGCTATTGGAATGTGACGCCCGCTTAGTTGACATATTTGCTCCTTCTTCTTGCTGGAACTATTTCCAATTCCAGCTAGTGGTCTCATCTGCAGGCCATTGGCAAATTGGCCCTCAGTGGGGAAGATAAAACTTCCAAACAGGGATATATCTTTTAGTGTTCCCACTTTTTTTGCTTTGGACCTATCAATGAGGAGCTTCTTGCATGTTGCATTCTTCATTGACTGTAAAAATCAAAAGAATTGACTGTTTGAATACGACAAAAACTTGCATGATTGTTCACCATAGTTTGAACATTTTGGCACACCTAATATGCCTTTTTAGAAGTTATAAATAAAATCCACCAGAGATTGTTATGAAGAAAGGATACTTCATTAACCTTTTCACACTGGTCTGGAATGAGTTAGGTAAAGGGATTCCCATTCTAAAATTTGCACTTGGGATCTAAAGCATATTGTCACTGGTGTAACAGTTACCATTCCAACAAAAACATTGACATTAATTCGCCTAGTTCTAATCGTCCTTATAAATGTAGGATTTTTAAAAAAAGGAAATTGGAATCAGTATGCAATATTGCCATTTTAGAGGTTAAAGAGTCAATAGTAAAAAATATATTCATTTACATACCTCTATTAATTCAGCAACCTGCTCTCCGCTTTCTAGGTCATTGCCCAAACGCACCCACCGAACGATTTTATGGCTTATGTGCGCGAAGTGGGAGTCAAGTTGGGATTTCCCCTCTCCAGCTTCGAAGTTGTTGTATTCCTTTAGTGTGAAGTTAAAAACTCTGTTCACCTCAGAGAGATAAAAGAGGACTGCGCTATTGTGATAATGCGGCCCATTATCTAAAAAAAAATAAAATAAAAAAGGCAGAGCTTAGAAAAGAAAGAAAAAAAGCAACACAAATCAAAAATTTGTTTGTTTGTTTTTTCTAACTGGGGGAAAGGACCTACTCTTTGGAAAAAATAATGAAAAAAAATACCTTCTGCTTTTGGAAAATAAAGAAAAGAGCTTTTGAACTGCCTTTTGCAATCTATACAACAAGTACCTTTTGAATGGTACATATCATAATCACTAATTTCATGTTCATGTTACTTTGTTCATGAGACTTACCAGAAAACAGGTAGACAGAAAATCCCGGGTAAGCAGTCTCTAACCATCTGAATCCTATGTCAAGGGCACTTTGTGTGAACCACGCATCCTGTTTGGTATCTTCTGACCATAAGTCAATGACTTCTGTTTTCCGCTGACCCTCTGCCACCTGAAAAACATTTAATTCACCCCCCCAAAAAATTACTATTCCATAGTTTTGGGTTATAAAGCAAATCCCTCTTAATACAAACACACCCATATAAAAGGAAACAGAAGAACTTGCAAGGCCCTCAAATGGCCAACAAAAATGAACAAAAAGTCATCTACCTAAGACAAAACTGTGAAAAGCAAAATGGAGGTTTTGCTATGGCCAGGCGGTAATATCTTCAAAGGGAAAGAAGTGACCTAGAACATACCAAAAATTGCAAATCAACAGCCTCACAATTACAGAATTGAAAAAATTCAACTTTATCTTTAAAAAATAGGGTATGATGCAATTCTCAAGAAAACTAGGTTGAAGGAAGTGTGAACAATGACCCTACATGTACATGTATAAGATGCAACGACCTAAACTTTCACAATCGTGTCAAGAACTGAACTTACCTGTGCAATTACAAGGAAACCATGTAGAGAAATTCCTCTTTTTCCATACCATTCTCTTTGGTTCTCACGGGTTCTAAGACCAAGCTCAACTTTCATTTTGTAATCGATGATTACAACTACCTCTCCAGGCTGAAGGTTTGAAAGGACATACCGATAGTAGTCCCCCTGATGTTTGGTGCGAACAATGTGTGCAAGGTACTCCTTGTGGTTCAACTCAATCTGTTCCCAGGACTTGGTGAATGAAGCCTTCTTAGCTGCATCATTAATTCCATTCAGAGCATCTTTTATTTCTTTCCTTAACTTGTGAAAGTCATCCACATTTGAAGAACGATGCATATGTTCCGCTGAGCATTGGCCAAGGGCATAATCCAAACAAAGCTCGGCACAAGCTGAATGCCTCTCCAACTAAAACCCAAATAAAAAAAAGAACAAAAGTGGCCAAACATTAGAAAACACTTCTCTTTCTCAAAGATGGGTGAATCTGAAACACCTTGAAGATATTGGAGAGATAACCAGTCATGTTTACAGTAGACGACAAACATCAGTTTCAAGTTGAGAATGTCTCAAAATAGAAAATAGGCATATAAAATCAGCTGAAAACAATTCTTACAAATAAAAATGACATAAAAATACTTATTTTTTGTAGAAGTAAATGACAGGCAAAGGTCATGTGGTGCAAATTAATGCTTACCATTTGCTGTAAATGTCATTCCCAACCTCTATGCAGTTTATGAAAATACAGTGTCTGAGAACTAACTTTTTGATGTGCACTTTCAACAAAATGTTCTAAACACACAGGTGTCAAACAAATAAATGCCTATAAACAGTTATTTCGAATCCTATTAGATTCTCTTCAAGTATTGACACTACCGTTTCATGTTCTTAAAGCATGGTTTCTAGCACCTTGGCATACCCAACCTTTGTTATTTTATTGCTTGATCCACAATTATGAAGACTTTTTCGGTCAGCAATACAAAGGATAAAATCTGCATGTAATAAAATATAATTTGCTCTATTTCTTACCTCTTTGGGGAACTGCACCTTTAGAAACTTCTGATACTGTCTGGACATGCCCGTGAAATTGGAATGGGTACTGACACTTATAACACCCTCTTCTCTGATATTGCCTAATAGCAATTCCAACGAATCAAAGTTTGAATGTCCAAAGTCATCGCAAAGGTTGCAAAGACCTGCCAACATTGAGTTCATACGAAAGTTTTTGGGCAAGTGAGAATAAATGTAGGTTCTCTTCAGACCACCAGGAAATTTGAGCTGGTACTGCTGAATAACTTCCTTTATATCACAAAGCCAATATCTTAACCCCTTTTCTTTTCCATCCACAAGCACGCTTCGACATGAAGATGGCCTTGAGATGTCATCTTGAGTGATAAAGTTTTGGAATTCTTGAATGATCTCAGGGCTCACTGCCTGCCTGGTAAATGACAAGCCATCACGGGGGACACCACCTCTTCCAAACAAGATGGCATGAACTCGCGCTGCAGTGATTGTACTCTTTGAACAGGGAAAATATTCCTGGAGTTCTGACATTGAGAAGTCACATGCCACAATTGAGAGAAGCCTTCTTCGTTCGTCCCCAAACTTACTCAATCGGCCAATGGCTTGTGCCGTCTCTATTCGATTTTTTCCTTGCCTTACTCCACTGAAAATCAAGTTGCTTGTTTTCATGCTGTCACCTATAATAAGTTTGTTGGCTACCTTAGCACCCTGTGCCCGTATCAATTTGCTGCTCTCTTTGTCTTTTGCTGCAATGTAGTCCTTAGCCAATAATTTCAAAATTTTGTCATCGCTGCTTTGTTTTCGGTGCTTGGTAAATACATCCCCAAACTTCCCTTGGAATTTTTGGCTGCTCAGAATGTCATTCATGATGGCCTGTCTACCCTCCTCACCATCGGAAGTATAGTTATCTAGCAATGCGTCTATTTTGCACATAATTTCACTTCTTAAGTCCAGTTTCCTTCTATGACCAACACATTCATAACCCTGGCGTGTATGGGCATTTTCGGGAACTTGACAAGCTTTGTCCTCTGTCACAGAATGTTCAATGAAAGTATCAGGCTCATCCTGTGGCACACAAACTTCAACTTGTTCATTTTCAGTAGCCGGTGAATCTACTATTTGGCTTGATGAAGCAGCCTACAAAAATAAAAAAGTTGAATGAAAGAAGAGTAACGCGGAACACCTAGGTTTCGAAAAGATCTAACACAGTATCACATCATCAGAAGGTGCGAAGATCTACTGACTTCACCTTACCTCAAGCTCCAGTGTTTCGCATCTCTTTAGGAGCTTAATTTTGTCCCGGCATAAACCGCAAATCTTTCGTTTTCTCTCCTTGTGTCCAGCTGTACTCCACTTTCCAGAGCCACAGTACTTAGTTTCCTGATATGATAACGAAAACAGCTGTTTTGGACCGACTTGTCCAAATCCCCACGCGTCGTGTTTGGGACAGCAGCAAACACTGCTAAACGGCATTTGGGCGATCCCTCCGGCGACAACTACTCTCAATTTACGTTAAATAATATATATGTGTATTCAATAAAAAGAAATCTGAAGATTTGATGTCGAAATTCACGAGATTATGGACGGAGATGACTTAGTTTCCGACAACTTGAAATAGGAAATCCAAGATGGCGTCTCAACAACTTCGCGCGTGGGACACGTTTTCTCCGCTAACTTTTGATTGGCGCATAGGACAATGCTGAAAGTTGGCCGTGAGGTATAAAACAAGGGAATGGGTAAGACAAAGCTAAAAAAAGTTGTTTTTGTCACGTTTTTCTTTGTTTTTTCGTCGATTTTTGGATTTCAGCCAATCAGAACCCTCCATTTAATTGAAATTAAAAATTAAAAGTTAACACCTTTTAATCGATTTTGCGTTTTGCCTGCCTAGTTCTTACGCGGACCATTACTTAATGCAGATCGAGTAATTATCAGATTACCTTGCGGTCAAGGTCAACTTTCCAGAATTTGGAAAGTACAATGTGATTGGCTAAGCTTGAGAAAGGAATGTTGTTTTCCGTTGAGCAGGCGTTTGTGGGGAGGGAAGAATACGAGCTCCCCTAAAAACGCCTGCGTGGGAGGCTACCTTTATTCTAGGACAGAGCTATTTTTTCACAACCGGCATTTTTGAAGTAACCCCTCTATTTTCGTGGTAAGATATAAGCTTAATTAATTTAATACTTTAAACTATTCGACTGACACTTTCCGCTTAACTGTTCAATATTTATCATTTTCAAACTCTATTTACATACAAAGAGTCAGACTATATTATTTTGTCCGAATTCAAAAGTGTTTCTGTTTTTTCTCCTACGGCTATTTAATTTTTCTGGCCATTCCTCTACACTCTTCTTTTTCTTCTCAAGGACTCGACACAGAGGATGTCGGGCAAAGGCTCCGGGGCGCCTGGCTAGAAACATGCTCGCTCAGTTGTGCTTTGCCCTTGGTGATTCACAACATTACAGGAGCCTTGGTGTCGATGCATCCTTTTTTTACCATACCCCGGGGTATTCCCATTCTCCTTCATCTGTCCTTCTTCTACTTCCTTTTTTCCTTAAATAACAATAGCCGACAATTTCTCTCATATAATTTCTCTTATGATGCTAGTTAATAGTTAAGAGGCTATCTCAGTAAAAACCGCCCACTCAATTTCGCGTGAAAAATAATCTTGCCGGAAACTCTGGCGAGTGAAAGGCTTTATCGAGACTTTAACTAAAATAGGTTTGCTTTGATTCACAATAATTTTCTGGCCGCGCTGGGGGCGCCGAGTATTCTGTCTTGCCACGGCCATTTTGCACGTCTTGAAAACTGAAAATTTGGCATTTTTTGCGGCTCTGTAAAATGTTTGATTTGCACCATCTACCAACGAATTTTATACCTATTTATAGATAAACATCTCCAGTTTTTCGTGAAAGTAATAGTTATCCGCTAAATTAAGCTGGAAAGACGAAATCAAGCAAAATATGACCCCAAATAATTGCCTTGGAGAGAAAGGCCAAAAATGACCCTGTTTTAAAAGCTTATTTCTGACGTTTGGGACATAGTTGAAAGCTCTAGACTAAATAGACCATCTGTTTTTAGTAATACACAAAACCACATGTACGTTTTCAGTATTTTAAAAGTTATGACCGTTTGTATCAACGCCTATGCGAGCTAATACGATATTTTCAGATTTAGCGTAACGGATCTATCTCAAGCAGATTTTGTCAAAGTACGGCTTACCTAATTCATTACGGCACTGACTCACAAACTGAGCCATATTCCAATCCCTGAGATGCCGGACTCCATAAAATTCCAGTGAGATGTGCTTTAGAGACTGCTAGTATGCGGCCATTTTTGAATCCCATTCTAACAATCCGAAGCTCAAAACAAGTGAAACTGTGTCACGGCGTTCGAGCTAAATAGTTCGGTAAAACAACTGTTCAGAGGTGAACGTTTGCTCGAGAACCAGAAAATCAACTAGGCAAGTCTCATTTTGGATCAGAAAATTGAGATTTCAGAGCTACAACCTCGAATAAACCTTCTATTCAACCGGCTCTGCAAGGTCAAATGCAGGTTGACACGTACTTTTAAGTGACGTTTTCATAGTCGTCGTCATTGCTGTTGCTTAAGCTCCCTACTTCAGAGCAGTTACGTGGCTTTGTGAGTCTAAGAATAACACGTAGTTTTCTGAATCAGTGCAATATAAAGCAAATTTTCGTAGAAATTTAAAAGAGGCACCAGCCATAGTTACGAAAACGATTTGCATTCACAAATGACACGGTACACCATCCACTTGATTAAGCTTTTCGCAAGTCTAAACTTCTTGCCAGTTTCTTAACTTCAACTTTTATTTCATTTACATGGTACGCTGCAATATTAATCCGTTTTTTAGCTAATAATGTTAAACAGATAATTGTTCATTGACTAGAACACTCCTAGTAAATTTTCACAGGGTGAAATAATACAAATATTCTGTACGAAAAGGGGAGAATATAATGAAGAGACAATAGCGTATTTAGCGTTTTTAGCTCATACTTTTGAGAAGATACTATCCAGGATAACTATCACAAGGAGTTACACAAAAAACATTCAGGATCAAACAATCATATCAAAATAAAGACTGGAAGAAAGAGATGCACCCGTCATAATTATCAGGATGACTTGCATGAACACTGACACTGGCAAACCATCCATTCGTTTAGCTTTTCAGCTAGTCCCAATTTCTTGACAAATTTTAAACTTCATTACTTTTCTTTTATTTATGTTATACCTTGCAACAGAGATTTTTTTGGTTTGTCACTATTACTCTGTCTAAATACCGAAAAAAAAAGCCTAGTTAAACGGTTAATTAAAACTATTCAATCACACATGTCCAATATACACAAACCGATACGATTCGTCAAACTGATGGTCCATTGGTACCAATGGTACCAATAGCAAAGGGTGTCATTCCAATGGTTCTGTTGGTGAATATGCATCTCATTAAGGGGACTTTGATTATTTTCCCATGTGACCTGGCTGGGTACAGGGCAATTCCAATGGTTCATTGGTACCAATGGTACGATTGGTACCAATGGAAAATGATGCCATTTCAATGTTTCTCTTGGTCCAAAACAAGTTCGCTTTTACACCAAGTAGAAACGCGCTAATAATTATTATGAATATTCCTCGTTCTATAAGCCATCCACGCGATGACAAGTTCGCTTTTACACCAAGTAAAAGCGCACTATAATTATTTTGAATATTCCTCGTTCTTTAAGCCAACCCCGCAAAACAAGTTCGCTTTTACACCTAGTAAAAACGCGCTAATAATTATTATGAATATTCCTCGTTCTATAAGCCAACCACGCAAAACAAGTTGCCTTTTACACCAAGTAGAAACGCGCTAATAATTATTATGAATATTCCTCGTTCTATAAGCCAACCACGCAAAACAAGTTGCCTTTTACACCAAGAAAAAACGCGCTAATAATTATTATGAATATTCCTCGTTCTATAAGCCAACCACGCAAAACAAGTTGCCTTTTACACCAAGAAAAAACGCGCTAATAATTACTATGAATATTCCTCGTTCTATAAGCCAACCATCCCATGCAAAACAAGTTGCCTTCTACACCAAGAAAAAAGGCGCTAATAATTATTATGAATATTCCTCGTTCTATAAGCCAACTACACAAAACAAGTTGCCTTTTACACCAAGAAAAAAGGCGCTAATAATTATTATGAATATTCCTCGTTCTATAGGCCAACGACGCAAAACAAGTTCGCTTTCACACAAAGTGGAAACGCGCTAATAGTTACAAAGCGAGGGCGACGTATATATCTAGCGCTAATAATATCTCAAGGTGCTGCGAGTATAACAAACATCGTACGAACATTATAAAATTGAATGGTAACGCGTCACTCTTGTGTTCGTTCTGTTTATTGTGATTCACAAGCAAACAACAACATGACATATGAATGTCTTCTTTCCTGTAGAAAAGCACTATTTTTTGGTAATTCTTACTTGTTTAAAAGAACCCGAAACAACGCGGAAAGGCGCGAAACTAACAAAAAGGTATTGAGGTGACAGGTTTTAACAACTGTACTCAATTCACTGTGAAATTAACTTCTGAAATTACTTAGCGCAATGTCATTATCTACATGGAAGTGTTTAAACCAAAACAAGTTTTCAATGAAGAGTTTCCGAAAAGGATGGTTATATCATGCTGTTGTATTGTATTTGGTGGCTCCTAAAAGAGCCGTTGTATATTCTAGTGACTGAAGTCACTCTTCACTGTTGACTAATGGGTTTGTCGTGGTAATCCATTAAGGTACAACTGTTTGCTATAATCAAGGTCGTAGTAAAACCATTGATGTCTTTTACTGTCAACATTGTCGTTGACAAATTGTATTTGCCGTGCTCTTTTCTCGGCCGTAGCTAGCGATGAGGCCCATGACTGAGCTAGAAGAATCCATCTACTGATGACTTCAGGAGTGCACCCGTTGCCGTGGAAAAACAGCAGAAGTTTGAATGTTTCCTTATCACCCATCGGTTTCTTCCAGAATATGAGGCGAATATCGAATATCCTTAGGCCACGATTTCTCTGGAAAAAAGGCGTCGCCGTTGAGCAGTCGGAATAGCTGTTTCCTTTCTTCCACGACTTCTTGCCGAGATAGCAGTCGTATTTCTTCTGGTACATAGACATCATAGCCATGTTCCAAATGATCGTATAACCGTGAACTGAGACCACGCCGATAATGAGTGTAGATTTATAAACACGCGTCGTTATGTGAGCAACATTTCACATCACTTTGAGATTTTTTATTGTTCTTACTATCTTATTACTGTTTGTAAGGGTTATGCAATTTTCTCACTTTTTCGGTATTCTTTGTTATTCTGAAAATGAAGCGACCTAACTGTTATCTCACCTTTTTATTGGATGAGGCGTGATAGCACTCTAGGGACATTAGAAGTTCGAGTGATTGTGTTCACGTCTATTAGGGATAAACTGAGC